AGTGCCACTAAATTTGATAGTCTTGATGAGAAATCTGTATTTAAGACAAGAGACTACTGTTAGCACAGAATATGGAGAAACAGAATGGTTCTCAGTTGGCAAGGGGTTAGGCAATGCTTCATCTTTTCACTCTATCTGTTCAATTTATATGCAGAAAATATTACACAATGACCAAGCTTGGAAAAGGAAGGAGTAGGTGTGAAGACAGGAGGAAGGAATATCAACAATCTAAGATATGCAGACAGCACCATACTATTAGCAAAAACCATCACGGACCTGGAACAACAGCCAAAGAAGATCAAAGGAGAAAGTGAAAAGCAGGCTTACTGCTGAATATAAAGAAAACAAAAATAATGACCAGGGAGGACTTAGACAAATTCAACCTAGACAATAAGGAAACTGAAATAGTAAAAGTTCCCATACCTTGGATGAAACATTGTCAGAATGGGGACTGCAGTCAAGAAATCAGAAGAAGCCTAGGTTTGAGAAGGGCCATGAAAGAACTGGAAAAGATCCTAAAGTGTAAAGGCAGAAGTCTGAAGATTAAAGTGAGGATAGTCCAAGCCATTGTATTCCCCATCAACATGTACAGATGTGAAAGCTGGACAGTGAAGAAAGCAGGTAAGAAGAAAATCAATTCATTTGAAATGTGGTGCTGGAGAAGAGTGCTGAGGATACCATAAATATCTAAAAAGACAAACAAATGGGTTCTAGAACTGAACAAGCCTGAAATCTCCCTGAAAGCCAACATGATTAAGTCAAAACTGTCATACTTTGTCCACATCATGAGAAAGCACAACTCATTGAATGCTAGGATAATAATGCTAGGAAAGGTGGAGGGATGTAGAAAGAGAGGAAGGTTGCATGTTAGATGGATGCACTCTTTTTAGGAGGTCATGGGTATGAATTTAAAGGACCTAAACAGAGCAGTGGAGGATAGGGAATCTTGGAAATGTCTCATTCACAGAGTCACCATGAGTTGGGATTGATTCGAAGGTGATTAACAACAACAAATAGTGACGACTCCTAGATCTCCCACCTACTGTTTTCAAGAAACACTGCCTTAAAAAGACTTTACAAAATCTTCAAAAGGCAATAGTGGGAACTTGACTGAAAACACCAATAGGCTCTATGGTCCTGGATAATTGTTGTCCACATTAGAACATTCCATTTCTGTGGACGGTGAAAAGAAAGTGCTGTTTTCCCTCAAGGCATTCCAAACAGATTACAGTGGGCTCCCCACATTCGCTCAGGTTAAGGATGCAGGACTCCCTTGAAAAGTGGGAAACCACCAATAAAAAAAGCAAAACAACATCATCACTTTTTTTAACCAGAGAGAATCCCTCTCTAGGAATCTCTAGGTCCCTGCCACAACTCTATAGTCAACATCCACCAGAAGCTGACTCTATAGAATCTCACTGGAGGGCCTACAAAATGCTAGAGAAGTGTTTTCTCTGGGAATCTCTAGGTCCTTCAACATGACTCTGTGGTAAACATCTGGCAGAGTTGTTGTGCTGGAAGACCTAGAGAGAACATATTAATCAACTCCAAAAAATCAATGCTGCAAATGTGGAAGGCCAACTGTATGTAGATCTGTTCCAACTGAGTTTCATGTCAAGTTACAGAAGAAAAAAACTCTTGGTGACCCTGGTAATTTCAAACCAAGGAATAGAAGGGTGTATGCAACCCTGCTGGGTCTCCTCGAGTAATCAGCTGCCTTTGATATCATACATCATGGTATCCTCTACAATTGTCTTTTTAGACTGGGTTTTAAGAGACACAGTTTTATGATGCTTTGGTATTTTCTGAAAAGTGCTGCTGGGGAGTGCCTCTTCTACCTTAGGGCCTTTTGTGTCACAAGGGTCTATTCTGTCTCTAATATATTTTAATATTTATTGGTAGCCACCAGAAGAAGTCATCCAGAGCTTTAGGTTACAATGTAATCAATGTGAAAGGAAGATTATTTGTTTTAGACAATGATCCCCAACCAATTCTGGATGGCAAAGCAGTCTGAAAAACTACAGATTTAAAAAGAGTTCTGGATGTACAGGTGGCAGAAGTGGCAATGAATGCCTTTCCGTCAACTTAGTTTGATGCATCTATGATCCCATGCCAGATTTAGCCTCAATTAATTGTTTCTTGGTTACATACAGGGCTTCTTTTCAACACAATCAAGAAGCTTCAGAGGGTTCAGAATGTAGCAGTATCGAAGTTAGTGAGAGCCAAATTTGTATCTGCAACTCTGCATGAACTGCACTAGCATTTGGCATTTATTTGAATTAGGGTTGCTAGGTCAAGAATGATCACAGCCCAAAGCTAGGACTTAAGGATAGATCCTTAGGGTAATGTTACAGGTGGCAGCCTCTGCTGATGTTAAAAGGAGTCCCCCTGGTGATAATATTGTGATATATTAAGCAACAACCACAGTTGTTCAGAGAATATGTTGCAATTGTTGTTGTTTTTAAAAAATCAACAAGTCAAACAAGAAAGTATTTCATTAGTTTGAAATGAATTTTTCCAAGTTCTGCACTGATTGGGAAGAGAACCCCAATCTTTTAACACATTAAATCTGTTTAACACATTTGCAAACACTGCTTTTAGTTAGGAAAAGTTGTGATAACAGAAGAAAGACGGTGATAGAAAGAGAAAAGGTGATAAGTAGAGAGAAGACAAATGTAAACAAGAAACATGGGTAGGAGTGGAGAAGAAAGAGGATGAAAAAAGGGAGAACTATGCAAAGATGAAGGGAAATATATGTGGGAGCAGAAGAAGAGAGAGAAAGAAAGGAGAAGACATTTATCTAAGAGTAGTAATAAATAATACACGTAATAAATGGCTGACATAATATGAAATGATACAATTTTTGGTGGTCTGTAGTGCTCTTTTTATTTTTGTCTTTGATTTTCATTTCATTTATTCATTTTAACTTCATTCAAGTGTTAATTAGTTTTTATTTCTAGGATATTGCCATAAGAAAATGTTAAGTTCTAAGAAATAAACCTCCCAGATCTTGGTTTCTCTGCTGGGGATACAACAATGTCAAGTTTACCAAAACAGTTTATTTTGTTAATATAAATTATGCACACACCCATGGCACAAACAATTACTAGGGAAAACTGGTAGAGGTACCTGAAATAATAAAGCCACTGTATCATTTTCCCATTTCATTTAGCATAGCTTCTAATTTACCATAGTTCTTATAAAGAAATCAGCACTGATATCTGAATGCTCAATAGATTAGTATCAGAGAATGCAAAATAAACATTTCTCCTCTATAAAAAGCCTTTCTGGAAAGAGACATAAATCCAACCCTACTGCAATGCTCTGACAATGTTTGCTTTACGCATACATCCCACACATGTCCATTAGGAGGACTGAGTCCTGATTAACACCAAGATAATGAATAAACATACAGTGCACATAACTCTTCAGCCAAGATATAGCACTTTAAGTCTGTTTCTTCAGTTTTTCCTGTCTTTCCTGCACCAAATATTTCTACCAGTGCTTCTCAAACACTGAGACAGCAAATGTTTTTAAAGGA